CTGGAAACTCAAGATGGAATATGAATGATTTTGGATTAACAGTTTCAATTGTGAAAAGCCAAGAGACCCCACATAAAATATATTTTATGTGTCCAAAAAACTGATTTAAATAAAGTGCATGAATAGATCTCTGTAGACCTAGAGGAAAAACAACATTCTAGTATGAAACAATTGAAGGCTTGCCTCTGTTACAGCCATCTGTCAGTATACTATATTAATATTTCGTTCTCAATCAACCCGCTGTGTTTTTGTTAATGTGTAACAGGCAGAACACGTAGGCGCATACACGGATTTACAGGAAATTGAATGGGTGACCTTAATTATCCTGCTTCTTGAATGTGCATCAGCCTCCATGGCAGCGCTTTGAAATTCCACGTGTCACCGTCCCCTTTTGCTGCTTGCTGAGAGGAGTTATCTGATGCTAGAAAAGGTTCCTAGACTAACAGCAGGTGAAAAACAAAGAACAGTGGATGCATGCTGGGAACTGCCTCTCTCCCCGGATCTGTATGCGTGTGTTTGTTAAAGAGAAGGATAGGTAAAGAGATTGAGGATTAGTGTATTTGCACCAAGGAGAGAAAGAGGTTTTAATTTGAATTTTTTTTTTTGTACTCAAAAGATTTATTTTTCTTCTCTGCCTCACTGCGATCATGTTCTATTCTTCTTAACAGATTTTTGTTTGGCCTTGTTGCCACCTTTTATTTATAGACCAGTGGAGAGAGGAAAGGAAAAGATGGGGAAAGAGGGCAAAACCAAATCAGGAAATGTTGTGAGCTAATCGGATTCAATTAACATCAGCCAAAGGATTACTATAGCTCTGACAGCTCTACTAGGCTCGATTCTATTCAGTTCTATTCTATTTATTTCCATTGTGGTTCATTAACGGGTTCCATTAATGATATTTTAGAACTTCTGAGGAACAAATATTTGGAAAAAAGAAATGCAGTATTTCTTACAGTATTTAGTGCCCTCAGAAGTTTGTTGCCAAATGTAGAGATTATTAGACACACTGTATATTTTAATTTACTATAAAGAACCATTTGTTCAGGAATCAAACTGCACTGGCTGTGCTCATAAAAGATATTAGGATTAGGATTACTTTATTTGGCCCTAAGGAAATTTGTCCTGGACATAAGGGCTGCCACACACAAGAATACATAAAATTATAATACAATAACACACACACACACACACACACACACACATAAATAAAAAATAAAACACATAAATGCCTTCAATACCTGAAACACCTTCATTTCACCCCCACCTTAATGTCCTGAGTTAAGGAGATTCACTGCTAAAGGAATGAAAGGGTGTTTATACCTATTCAGGTATTTTTTCCGGTATTCAGCTGGTACCTGAGGGAAGCAGTTCGTATTCTGAGTACAAGACGTCAGAGGGATCTGCAATAATTTTCCTAGCCTGTTTAACTATAGTCTTCTCAAAAAGAGTTTGGAAGGAGGGATACTCCCTCACCCCCATCACTTTCATTGCTGTATGAACCAGTCCATTTATTTGTGATTTTAGCTTAACTGATATGTTACCAAACCAAGCTATAATTCCATAACGTAATACAGTCTCTATCACAGCCTGGTAAAATCACATATTTCAAATTAAAACAACATTGTATATACTTGATTCACTAAAAATAAAAATTCTCATGTCAGGGATCAACGTTGTCACTCTATATGTTTTTAAATCAATAAAAAGAATCAACTCATAAAAGCTATTTAGAATTCATTTAGTATTCAGACATGTATTCAGAATACACAGTATTACCCGATCCCACCCTCCTCTCTTTCTCCCACTTCGCTTCCTGTCAACCTACTATCCTATCTAAATAAAAGGCATAAAAACACTAAAAAATAAATCTTAAAAAAAAAAAAAATGCATTAGTTCGGGAATCAGACTACACTGGCTTTCGGGAATCAGACTACCCAGTCCACATTTACGCTGGAGACTCATAAAACTGTTAATAGAATAATTAATCATTTGATTTTGCTATTTTCTGAAAAACAAATCTCAGTTCCCTGTCCTAATGACATCAATGCATTATGACATCACAGCAGGCTGACGAAGGCATTGGAAAATTCAGGGTGTGACTGTTTTGGAAGATCTGTTTTGGAAGCAGGGCAGGGGTTCTAGTGAACATCTGACTGAGCAGATTGCTCTTGCTAGTTCCGCAGAACATGAGCCAACCGAGCAGGCCTGAAGAGCAGGGGTCTGACAGATATTGGGAGGACTACAGGGTACTGAGCCGCTCTGGGCCGGTTGGGCTGTCACATTAGGTTGAGAAAGCACACGGAGATTAAACGTTCTGCTGAGTCTCTTCCATGCGCCACTGCAGAAAATCAGTCCCTTGCACCTCCTCTCAGTTTGCAAGGAACTATTTGTCTTTGTAGTCAGGGAGTAAGGATGAAATGAAATATATATTTGTGTCTGAGCCTTCACGCAAGTGAGTTTATACAATAATGACCTTAACCCTCACGTTCTCTTTAGGGTCTCAAACAAACCAATGCTACTTATTGGGGGATAATTCATCCAAAAATGACCGTTCCAAACGTTCTTTCTGTGGAACATAGAAGAAAATATTTTGAAAAATGTCGAAAAGTGAAGGGGGTCAATGCTGTTCTGGAATTTGATTGTATGGGCTAAAACAGAAAGAATCATCTTTTGTGTTCCCCAGAAGAAAGACACTCTTGACATGAGGTTAAGTAAATTATGGCAGAAATTGTATTTCTGGGTGAATGATCCTAATTAATAAATTCAAAGTAAAATAACTGGTATGATTTGTATTATTTTTACATGTAAAATCTCAAGTATAATCTACACAGAACATGAAGGTTAAAGGTCACATATTGTACACCTTTCTGGAGTTTTATTTTAGGTTTTGATGTCTTTAAGAATATATATTTGCGGTATAAGTACCAAAAACCATCTCAATATATTTTTACAGCTCCTTTCTCAGGAGCTCTGCTGAGAACAGGTCGATTTTGGCCTGTCTAATTAATATTCCACAGGTAACTAGGGTCAGCCGACGCCACAGCACTAGCTGGAGGCAGCAAAACAAAGGGGAAACTGGAGGCAGCCCATTCAAACCAGCGCAGATTCGGCTACATAAGGAGCTTAAAATATCATCTTGTTGTGATGTTGGGTGCCAGAATCGACGTAATACAGCCTCAAATTAGAAATTTGATCGCACATCTGCAGCCACTGCCAGACAAAAAACCGACGACAGCTGTGGTTAAACACGATAAAACGAGCAGACTGGACAGAACCGATCGTCAAAAATGCTTGCGTTTGCAGCGCACATTTCTTATCAGAAAAGGTTCAATAAAGTATTGTCTTTTGTTGTTATGGG